TCGTTGAGACATTCCGCCACGGACCATCCCAATGGCCTCATGACGTTGTGCAGACGTGAGCCTTGGCATGCTATGCGTTTCAATAGCCGTTTAAATTTTTGAACGATCGCAAGGGCAGGGGTTGAGCTTTCCAAAGTGACAGTATTGTGTGGCATTCATTTGCTCTGTTTCTCTTTCCCGGAATGCACGCGCAGCAACGTATTGCACGTCTCAAGGACGAACCCACTGATGTCACGGAACGTGGCACGTGCATGCATTTTGGATGCAACGTAGGCCTATTTGTCTGTCGTTTAAGGTCACCAGATATCGATATCTGTGGCATGTGACAAAAAATATAAAATAAAACATATTTGTATTTTGTTGACCATAAAACATATGAGTTTGTTTTTGAAACAACAGCAAAAACGCAAGTGCAAAATTTCTCAATGTTTGATGCGACAAAGATTTGTTTGTATCTTATTTTTTGTAAAGTGTATTCGGGAAAATGTTGGGAGCGTTGTATTTATGGTCAAAATGGGGCCTTTTGCAACCTGGAATTCATTTGCCAAACAGAAAAAAGATTCCTTTGTTCGTGTCTCGGTACATTATTTTCATAAATGATTTTCTCTGAAATCGAAATAAAAAGCGTTTTGGATGGTAATGGAAGTGTGAGGTTTCCCGTGGTTTCCCATTGTGTGGTTTCCCATTGCAGATTCTATGAAGGTAAATTAGTTACACTTGTGTCATATACTGCAGAATTTATCTTCGAATATCTCTACAAAAAACGAACTTTCATGTTTTGGCGTTACTTTGTCTCACTGTTTGATGTTGTAAGACCAGAGGTATATAACTTAAGTCTGCACACTCTTTGTGATAACACTGTCAGACATGAGTCAGCTGGAATCCTTAATCTTTCCTACTGAACTCAACAATATGAAAGCTCTCTTGAAATTCATTGATAAAGCATTTTAAAAACACTCTTAAAATGATCCTTAAAGTCATGAAAGTTCTTTTGAATGATAATTCTCATGAAACGGTTTTAAGATTTCACAGCCCGGATCTCAGGGTACATCCTTCCACAGAAACACGCCTCTTCTGCTATGTCCTGTGATGTTTTGTGATGTTCTGTGATTCTGTATCAGTTCCGGACTACTGCAGAGACTGATTAGCTTCTGTTGCAAAGTAGATTCCTTCCATCGATATATGATAAGCTGAATGAAACAGGTTCTGTGAGGAGGGACGTATTGTTAACAGGTTTGATATTCTCTGTTGAGCTTTCCACTTGTTGAAAACAGGTAATCCTTTAAGGTAGGATATAAAAGTTCCATTACATGTTCATTTTCAACCTTTTATTACGTTTTAAAACACTCTTTGGTTGTCCATTGCCTACGCCAAACACCGACGTATTCGTTTTAGCCAGGAGCTATGAAACTCTGATCACGTTTGATTGCTATGAACTTTTGGAATCAATTAAAGTTTGGGGTTTTACAACCTGAAGGGGAAATGAGACCGGTGATATGTTACAAAGATGACGAAGGACATTGATATCATCTAAATCGGATTTATTGTACACATTACGATGTAGTTTAAAAGGAAATAATCTAAAGTCTTTTTCCCAACCAGATGACTCCAGGCGTCGCTGTCCCTTCGTGAACCTACTGTTTATAGTGCAGTTTGTTTGTTTTTCATTCAAGGAATCTCTGCAAAATAAGTGACTCATCTTCCTGCTCAACTTTTATCAGAGATAAGGATATCCTCGATGAGTTATGAGCTCCGAGATGTTGTGAGCTTCATACATGACTTAGCCAGTTCTTTTATCTTTTGAATATAACTCCAGAAGAAAATATTTATTATTAGCGTCACTGGATATTTTGTTCATCTCTATTGTGGAGTCTCATACATATAAAATGCATCTAATATCCCGAATAATGTCACACTAAACAAAACAAATGAGGTTTTTCCTGAAATTGATTTTTCAATGTCTTGTATATGTCATTTATTCATCCTCCATTGGCGTTTCATGACTTTTTGTACTAACATGTTTAATGCATAAGCCAGATATACGAAAGTGAAATGTGGAGTTTTGAGGTTACCGCGTCTACAAAGATGTGTGTTAACGTATATTTCTTCTGAACATAGGAGTTAGGCTTGGGGCAACCTTCATTTTGAAATTGAAAAACATGATGAATGTGAAAGTCATGTAATTATCGTTGAATATTTAGCAGAGCAGATTGTGTCATAAGCGTGTCGCAAAACTAATTTTGTAAAGTTACGATTTCCATAGCCACCTGGTTAAACACATCAGTGTTGTGTATTTGGTAAAGACTGCGTTTTAAACTAACCTTATTTTACCCGTGAATATCCGGGTTAGAATGAATCTTCTGCAACCCATGTTTGTCTTTAGAAGCGACTAGCCGGATCGGGCTCACTGACTTGATAGGCATATGTCATCGTATCCCAATTGCGTAGATGGATGCGCATGATGTTGAATACTGTATGTTGTGGTTCAGACTGGAGTATTTATATATTTGTTTTGTGTGCGGTGTCAAAGAACATATAATACAAACAACAACTTTTTTTGGTTTGGTCGCCAGAGTGTCTGTCTTCGTAGACCCGGGTTCGATTCCCTACATGGGTACGATGTGTGAAGCCCATTCCTGTTGTCCCCCGCCGTTACATTGTTTGAATAGTGCTACAAGCGGCGTAACCCAACTCACTCACAAGGCTGGATGTTCAACCCTCTTGTCACGTCAAACCGAATGAGGTTAAACACAGGACTTGGTGTTAACCTGTGTGGCGTTCGGCATGGATGGAATAAAACAAGGACAGGTAGACTTAATGTGGGACATTAATGTTAAACTGCTTACTGCGATGTCAGTGGGCCCTTAACTGTTTACTTAGGCTACTCCAAACAACACACCCACCCACTGAACAGTGTATAAATCTTGAATTTGACCTTAAACCGTTAAATCATCTCTCCTCAACCCTTTTCTTTCGCTATACATCGAAAGCCAAGGAACACGTTTTTGTTAAAATTGAAACTAAAAAATTGATAACAACTATTTAAAAAATATGAACTATTAAACTATGAAATACTGTTTAAGCATTTTTGTACTATCAGCACGTCAAAGTATTGCTTTGGTTATGTTTTATCAAAGTATGAGGAAACTCATAACTGCTTTCGGGCTGACGCTTTGAGGTGGTTTTTCAAAGATATGACACATTTGAAGTGTAAAATAAATTCAATCTACAAAACGGTATTCCTTTTGACTTCTATTCAGAACATTTCGTTTTCTTTATTTTGACTCACAGAGGGAATTCAATGTGCTTCTCGGAGATGTCAATGTCACCTAGAAAGAATCACAGAAGTATGAACACTGCCACCCCTGATTACGAGCAAAAGAATTGAATCTGCTTTTCCATAATAATACTTTGATGTTCACAGCCGAGCTACTTGATTGAAACCTCTAACGTTATCACGTCCATCACGACCATTTGGATAAATGCCATAGTTAAACATAATTTTATAGATGCACATTTGATAATATTAATTAAGGATTAATTCTTAGTTTCAAGATAAGTATGCATGACTGGCAGACATAATAATCATTCTCCGGTCTTCACCTAAGACTAGACGCTTAATAACTGCTTGTCAAAGGTGAACCACTCAACGAAATAACGTTATCGAAAATTGTGCATCCCATCTTCCGAGAACTATTATTTCATCGACTAGACTATCTTGGTTATGTCTTACCCAATTTGCAGCCCTGATTTAGAGCGTCCTTAAGATGTTTATTGGCTATCACCTCTTGTCGTTCTTGCTTATGGTAATAGCCAAACACATTAAGAGGTCCGAATACTCAGACAGGAAGTGTTCCATAGTAATATGATCGCTCTTTCCTTTCATCTCTTCAAAGGATTATCTCACATATTTTGTATACGGTCCATCTAAACCAATGTAGCTCAAAGAAAAAAGCTTTTGTCGCAACGTTGATGTTATCTATTTAAGTGGCTCTAGAGAAGTGCTTTTTGTACTTGGAACAGATTTTAATCATCGATATTAGATCTGATTGTCAGACTGTCGATTATAGTGAGTGAGTGAGTGAGTTTAGTTTTACGCCGCTTTTAGTAATATTCCAGCAATATCACGGCTTGGGACCCCAGAAATGGGTTTCACTGTCCATTATAAGCTGCAGTAGTATTTAGTGTTATCACACTCCAAATACATGCTTCAGATTTAATTTAAAAAGTTAAATTGTCAGCAAGACTTGTAGATTTTATATGCATTTCAAATCAGATCTTGGATGGATCTGGAGAATATGTGACAATTATATTTGCTTGCATTTTCAAACCAAATGCAGAAATAAAAGGCATATTCATATGTCGCGTGTCCTGATTACTTTTCTCAGCAAGACTGGAAACAATAAATTTCATTTCTGAAACAGATGTACCAAATGATTTGCCAGGAAATTAGGAGTTGGTACTTGAGATGTATGCACAAACAGATACTTTGTAAAGAAGAAGAGAACAAGTAACCGATGTTCATTTTTTTAAATGTAAATAGTATACTTACACATAATACTATATGAAGAGTGACATAGCCTGTAGTATGGGTAATTGATAAAGGGTTTAACTTCACCTTCGTGATGATTGCACCTCTAAATGGGCATGTATATTGTTTCTAGTTTGTACAAATACCGATTTTATAGTGCCAAACCAACGAGATTCTATGCAACAGTTTAACATGCATACGCACCAGTACACCCATTTAGCGCCTACCAGCCCCTGTGTATCGAAAACCGAGTCACAGACAGGTTTCCAACACGTTCCTTATTTAAACAATATAATATGATTTGGGGCCGAACCAGCGACCTTCCGGACTCCATTTGCAGAGAAACCCTAAAACACGGATAACACGTTCGCTCTTGTGACATCACATTTTAGATCTTCTGACAGTGTTTCAGTTTGTGTTCGTTGTATATTCTTGCACGTGAGGTAACTATTTACCCTTGTACTTTCAGGTCTTCCGCCGGAACTATACAGCATCTGGGAAGCGTACCCATGGCGATTCGGGGAAGTGTTTTGCATTTTCAAATCCTTTCTATCTGAAATGACATCCTACGCGTCAGTGTTGACGATAACTGCCTTCACAGTGGAACGATACGTCGCAATCTGTCATCCTATAAAAGCTCAGACCCTCTCCAACCTCTCCCGTGCTATCCGGATTATAGTCATTATATGGATAGTGGCCTGTGCCAGTGCAATGCCGTACCCCATCCACACCCGAGTGTTCTATTATCTCAAGTACCCCAACACAACCAAACCAATAGAGGACTCAAAGCAGTGCAACATCCCATTGGCTTGGATTGATTTCATGAAGCACATGTTTCAAGTGTCTTTCTTTGTGTTCTTCGTATTGCCCATGGGAATCATAAGCATCATGTACATACTGATAGGGATCACCCTGAAGAAGTCGCAGTTTGGAGGATCTGCTGAAGCTGGCTTTAAGAACTCGGCCAAGGCCACGGCCCGGAAGGCTGTTATTAAGATGTTAGGTGAGAGGTCGTTTAATTCTATTTAAGTTTCAGAGTAATTATGTTAAATGAGATGAATTAGTCGGCTTGTAAGTTTCATGGGGTAGCGTATAGAGAAGTATTTACCGTTGAAACTAATGTGCAGCGGAAACGTGGTAAAAATAATAAGGACCATCAAGGTACTTTACTCTGTACAGCGAAGTGTGACTCTAAATAATCACTTGTTTATGCAAATTGTGAGAATGGAGGGTGGAGGGTGCCAGCGAAAGGTATGCTTACCCTTTTTGCGGAAACATTATCACAGTATTTAGTAATCCGTTAACATTATTTTCGCCATTTCCCCCAATGGAATCTGTACTGTAACTGGATGTACTCTGTCATTGAAGTTACATGTTTCCAAACGTTTGGACGATGGCAAACTGGGTTTCATTTTGCGTCACTTTCAAATGTTTTGGGTTCTTTTATAATCGTTGTTGTTGTTGGTGTTGTTGTTCTTGCAATCTAAAAGAATTTGGCATTTTTTCACAGATATTATCTCATTTGATGGAGGGTCATGTTGAGATACTAGATTTACAGATGTTTTTGCCCATCTCCTGAGTACCAACGACAAAAGTGACATGCCCATTTGTCATCGGCAAATTGAAAGCAAACTATTTAAATGGATACTTCCAAGTCATGACATGTCCCTAAACACGAAAGTAAGGAGTCAACCTTTACTTCAGAAGTTTAGAAGAGCATCAGTGATCCATGCTTATAATTCATGCCAGTTTCACCGTTATTCTTCACTTTACACGCAAATGAATCAGTTTGAGCAGAACACCAACACTTATTAGTCTCTGGAGATGCCGTTATATATGTACAAGGAGCATGTTGATGCCAACCCACACCAGCAGGTTAGGCGTGCTGTATTAATTACAGGCACACACTGTGTAGATGCCATGCGGATTCTATTCAGATCCAATCAGTATGATTCTTAATCTGAAAGGTCATCCAGTATTCAAAAAGTTTTCTAATCAACTGTCCATTATTACTGTCCTGCCACAACGGTAAAATGAGTCGTTGCTTTGCCACCTTGAAGGATCAAATTATCTGTCTTATTCAGGTATAGAAGTCCACTCGGAGACTGCAGAGCGGTCAGAATGACCTGTAGCTGTAGCTGGACCACATTCAGGTTTAAAGAAATTGGGTTCAAAATAAATATCATTATTTTGGAGTTGTTTCATTTACGGGACATCATCCATGTAGAAATATAACTTACTGATACAACGCTGTTTACATTAAAAGTCTTAAAACATTATTGTTTTATAAAATGTGAATTTTTCATTGTTAAATCTTACGCTATTATACGTAACTTTATGTTCAGTTTATTTCAAGGCGTGATTAAAATCCCACGTATAAATGAAAATATATAAAATATGTATAATATAGCAGTAATTAAGGTGGAAATCATGAGGAATCTCTTTATTTCAGTATGACGGCCTGCTATTATATTGAAATCATGCGCAATTAGCAACCTGCGTAAATAATGAGTGATTGCGTCATAACGTTACAAGACGTCATCCAGTCAGAGGTCACTGTGACATCATGCATGTAGTAACAATGTTTTGGCTCAAGCACCCAATGTGCTGCCAAAAGTGTACAATTTAAGGGATTTCTTTGAAAATTGGACGGAATGGTTCTCAGATGAGGGAAACAGAGTAAGTAGGTAACCAGCTTAAAACAACAACATATCTGGTTCAGTGAACAACTAATCCTCAAGCTGATACCTATTTCTTATAATGGATCAGTCCAGTAGAATCAATTAGACAAGACGTTATGTTGATTCAGCATATTTATTATAAGTTCAACAGAGATAATCCGCCGCCATATAGCTGGAATATTGCTGAGTGCGGTGTAAAACTAAACTCACTCAACAGAGATAAAAAATAAATAGTAAATATTGAATATGGTACTATGTTGATCATGTCCACTGCATTTCCACAAAATTTCTCTAAAATATAATATTTGTACATAACATAACATTTAATTTGCACATAGCATGTAATGCTTACTGGTCATTATCATGACATCCTTGGCACATTAAGCACAGCATTTATCTGATACAAAATTTCCCTAACCAAGATGAAGCAAATGTCCAACTGCATCAAGGAACTGCATGTGTGTTTTCTCGGCTTGCTGAAGTTGCTGCTTGAGTCTTTCCAATCTGTTGTCAATCACTTTGTTTCTGTTGTAATGATACCCATCAAGAAGAACTTGAGGTGTACCCTTCTGTGAAGTAGCAAATTCTACCTTTTGAAGTCCAGCCATATTGCCATACTGACCTAATCTGGGGCAAGACGTTTTATATCTGACATTAATGTAATGAGATTTACACATACCTTACACTTTCAATTGTTCTACATGTATTTATTTCAGAGGTACTCCACTTAAGGTATCAGAACAGTTGACCCCTTTCATCTTGTGAGGAGATATTCAAATGAAAACATAGCATGCATCTTTAAACTTAATCCCGCTTGTACAGTTCATATAATTTACTTCTGAATACAAGCTAGGTCTACTCAGCAGGGAACACTAATTAGGACTGTTTCATTTCAGCCATGAGTGTTGTCTTAATTAATTCCCTTCATTAGTGTCTAAGTTATGGCTGTCTAAGATATGGCGGTATAAGTTTTGGGAGATGACCAGTAAGGAGGTTGTTTAGTTTGACGCCAATTATAATGAGGCCTCGGCTCATACACATCCACAATATGGACTGAACCAAATACGGAATATGTATTTATAAACGACGTAGGGTACACAGGGCGGCCCAGTGGCAAAAACGTTCACTCTTCACGCCGAATTGTCCATTTCCCTTCAAGACCGACTCACTCATTGACTCAGCCACTGACTCACCGTGAGTTAAAAAGCACAAACTGTGTAACATCTGTATAGTGTACATACTGATTAAGATGATTCGGAGATTCGCAAATATATTTTGGAATACTGTTCTGATATTATGTGCACAGTCTAGGAATCGTAAAATTTCACAGTTTGACTATCAGCAACTAATAGTAATTAAAGACACGGAAGCTAAAGTATCAAAGCCCCAACATCGATCACTGACAATGTTCGCTGATTAACAAACCGTGAGTAAATATACAAACTGATTAGCTAACCGCTCTTCCCAGGGATAGCTGAAACCCCTCTCTGCTCTCTGACAGGACTACCGACAAGATCCATTGACAGCCAATTAAGTCGGCTGCGACCAATTATCACCTGGGAGTTAATTAATTAGTTCGACATAGTGAGTGAGTGAGTCAATATTTAAAGTCACATCGGCAGTTTTTCAGCCATATCGTGACTAAGAAAGTTGTAAATTTATCAATGAATAAAAATAAAATTATATATTATACTTACCTGTCTGCAAAGGACAGTAAAACAACTAGATTGTCACAGAAATAAATTTAAAACTAGTAATTAAATCTAAAATATTTTAACTATAAATGACAATACAATATAACTGGCTATATATTGTCAACAACCGAAGGTAGATCTCCATACTAGGGACCATGGAGACTTACAGTACATTTGCTACCTGCATGAACCCAAGCTTGATTTATACCATCCCTTCAGCCGTTGGCGATTGAAGGAAAGTTAAGCCAAAATTTAAAATCACAAATATAAAACGTTTAAAAATTCTGGTAAGATGAAATGAACTTTGAAGGTTTGGGGACTTACGTATCATGGGGAAGTCAGTTAACAACAAATTGCTCAAGGTACCGGTACCTAAGCAAAAAAGTTAGCTGACTGTCTGCAAATGAAATGGTACTTTTTTCTAAACTGAGAAATGCCGACACACATTACTAAAAATATATGTATAAAATATATAATACCCCAAACCAGTAAGTTCAGCTCAGCAATACCAGCAACTAAGTCAGTACAAGATAAAATTCGACTCTCAAATGCTTACAAGCGAAAACGGACGTGAAGAGCCTTGGTGCTTTGCCTGTGGTTATTAGTCATCATGATTGTTCCTCTCAACAAAGTACCCTTTTTGTCAACACTCTATTCTTCATTTTCCAAACCAGTTGGATGAGCTATTCCACGCTATATTTTCTAATAATTATATGCCTGTCATTCTGAAAGATGACGGAGCAGGTTTCTTGTTATATTAGATAACATTTTGTAATATTTGCCAGTGTTTTTGCTGGCTTTCCAGAAAAACATGAAAGAAATCTCGATAAAGAGCTTGCTAAAAGAGTTTACTTTTGCCTTGTTGGACGTCAGAGGATGAAACACAGATTCTAAAAGAATCTATCAGTTCGCATGGTTTAATTAAACCATCTTTCTTAGATGTCGGAGATGATTAATCAGTCCTTACCTTTTTAGAATGGTGTTTTCTTGAGGTTGAATGGCTTCAAAAGATTATGAAACAGGTAAACATTGTCCTGATGGCAAGATAAAGAGATGGGTTTCCATGTTAGTTCTCAGGTTTGATTTCACACTTGCTCTGTTGGATGTTTTTGACTGTATAGTCCTGGAATATTACGAAGGTCCCATTGACACCATATTCATTATTTACGAAGACAGGCTTAATGATAACATTGTGAAACTTCATCAGTGCTTCAACACGGATTCACTCATACCTAACGCTTGGAATCCGTATCAGCCAAAATCCGTGACCAAAATGTGTCACAATGAAATTCACGTTTTGCGTACGACTTTCTTATTTTGTCATATATTAGTTCATCGTCATTGTAACAAATTTAGAAGTCGAATTTGTGAACTTGTAGGACCGCTCTGCAATTTTAAGCGCTTCGAGAAAGTACTGATGAGTAGAACATCCCCTCACACTAAATATAACGCGGAAATGTAAGCCTCGTCCCAGGTTCCAGCACCGCGGTACACCTTTCACCTTGGATGTTACTTTAAGTTAATATAATGACGCTAGGCTATATATATTTCGATTACGCAATACATCATACTTCTCGGTAAATGACTTGTCTGGTACAAACATGTTTGTATGTGTTTGTTTCAATTATCGGTAAATGTACAACTGACCAGAAGTATCAGTTTATTCGGTGACCCGTGTAGTAATCGGGTTTGAAAGTAACAACCCACCCATCGACCCTCAGAACAACGTAAAAGTATTTCTATGTTGTGATTTACTTGTCTGTTCCAGTTCAATCAGTCTCCCGTGTCATTAGTCGTGACTCCCTCAGCCTGAAGTAACCCACTATAACACGATCCATGGATGTATAAACACCTCTATCAATACATCGATGTTAGTAGCTTGGTATTCCTTAAAGATCACTATAGGCGAGATGTGGAATGATCTAATTTTACGCTAGGTTAGGCTCACTACGCTTGACCAGCATAAGACTTTTGGGGAGAAGTGTTACTTTTGTGTTTCATGTATATCACCAGTTAATACTGGCCGACGTCAATACTCGTGCCATGTTTCTTTCGTTACTGTTTAATGTGTGATAAAGAAACGTTATTCTAACGCTGGCACTGTAATGTCCAGATAAAAACAACCATTGTGAAATATTGCGGTTACAAATGTGACTTCATCAATACTGTATTCCTTGTGACACCAGACAAAGCAAGAAAAGCCTTTAAAAGGGCAACGTAAATTACGAAATTTAGTGAAATGGACGTGAGATGATTTTTTTTTTTTTTTTTTTTTTGGGGGGAGGGGATTTGAAGCTGCAAGAGCATCATGATGACTATGCCTCCGTCTATTAGTAACATGCTTATATTGCAGATCGGTACTCTCATCGCAAATACGGTACTCTCATCTCCAGTATGTGACATTTCATATCAAAGGTCTTTGTCATGTCTAACCATGTCTGGAAATGAAGTACTAGTGGCGGACGGATGAAACATGGTTCTATATTTTGCTTCTATTTTATGGCGGATAGTAACGAGTCATCAAAAGATGACATATCCCCCCCCCGGTCCCCTCTTTTTTGCAAAGGTCATGTGAATCCTACCTCTTCAAAGAAATTCACCCATCTCAGCATTTGCGGTATTGTTACTGAACACGCCTCTCGAACCGATGATAGGAAACCAGTCGGCCCTTCGCTAATTCCAGGAAAAGCTACTGGGTGCTACCAAAATGAAATGGATTTTCCGATTCTGCCAAATCGAAATTATGCAATGAACAAGTACAAGTGTAACATTGAAACTGTATACGTTTATTAAACTGTCCCTTCCTTATTAACGTTTTTGATCAGTTAAAACACAAAATGTGTTTGAATTAGAGATTTATAGACAATTTATAGTAAAGCGGGACAATTATTTCGGATTACCCACATGGTCACGCGGCTCCTAGTTTGCAACAGGTATGATCATAGGTCATTTGGAATGCCAATATATTTAAAATAATAATAATAATGCTTAATAATATATATTCACGCAGGTGAATATACTAAATTTGCTATTTTTCGGTCCCTGACACTTGTATATTTTTGGTGCAAATGCTTTTATCACATATCGTAGTAAGATTGTTCGAAGACAGTTCAGTTTTGAACGGACAAACATCTCTCAATGGTGAGGTGAGGAGCAACACAGACACCAACACAACCGAGGGAAGTGTGTTAACAGTCGCTGTCTGCCTTCGGGCTATGCCATCTGCCATCTCGTTTAACCTCCTACTGCAATACCTTTCATGTTTCGAAGTACATATGTAACAATTAGAGGGGGCAGCGGTCTAAGCCAACTCCATTAAGGATACGTCCCGCAAATGATCTTTGCGTAGTAAACAACCAAGTCTCATACATGCGTGTGACTGAAAGGTACGATCTCGTTAGTTCCCACCCAACCCCCTTGCTACGCCAACCCATAACCTGCTCCACCCAACACGCCGAAACAAACAAAACACACACACACACACGCACGCACGCACGCACGCACGCACACGCACGCACGCACACACACACACATGCGTGCTCTGACAGCTACTCATGCTGGAGTGAGTTCAACATCAAACTCCCAAGAGCATTCAATGACAAAACACGTTTTATATTCAATCTACATGGAAATGAAGCCATTAACTCTACCAGTATCCACAGAAGAGTGTAATTTGTATGATTATATCAGAAACTTAATATTCTGAAATAACTATTTCAGTTAAACGTTTCCATCAAAACATAATGATGGTGTCGTTTTTAAGTCAACATTTTTTGTGTTACGTCAATGTGCTATATCGTTTTGCAGATATGATAAAAGCTTTACCTAACAGTGGGTAATGTATCGGATTAGGTTACCGCAACACGTGTTGTATTTATTAACAGTTCTTTCATGTCAACCTACCAGAATAGTTAAATAACTAAATCAGGGTTACATAAAAGTGTTATTATCTGCATTCTCAGTTTGTGGGAAAGTAGTACATCTATCATGCAATCATGCCAGTGACAGTGGGTGATTTAAAAACACACAATCGAAATGTCGGAATCGTACACTCGTCTCGTCTCCTCTTTCCGGTTTTAGCAGATTTCATGTGAAAATGAAAAAGCAAAATATTTCGGTGACTTGCGTTGGTGTGATACCCGTGAATGACACTTGGTCACTGATAATATCAGTTAACCCTCTTGTATCAAAGATGGGTCGTACAAACCTACCAGAGAATGTTGAAGTCTTTGACGGGATGGTACAACCAATCTGGAGGGCTTAATGTGATGAAGGAAACTATTCTGGTCCAGTCGTAATGGCGAATTAGGAGCTGGAAGAGTGCTGTGATATGAAGCATCGAAGTGTTTAGTAGTTCCGTTCGTTCTTATCAGATTACGGGACATAGATTCCTGAATGTTCAAGTGTCATTTATGCTATTTTAGGTTTATACTTTCGTGTGTGATGTTTCCGTCTAAACTAGTTTTTAAATGGTTTTAGATCAGCAGACTTCAGAGATTGTTATGAAAGCACTACAATATATTGTGATGGTGGTATTCACAGGTAACACAACAGCCTTAATTCGCTATGTAGATTTGCATCTTTACGCGTTCAAGAAACAGCTTATCAGGGATTCGAAGAAAAATGTCCCCAATAAATTATTTGTATCTGTTAAATGTCACTAAATGTTCTTGCTAATGGATGGGAACTTTAAAGGACTGCGTTTTAACCATTCACGAATGACATTTAAGCAACATTATGGAGTTAAAAAACAATTTCAGTTTAGATCCAAAAACTGATGTTTTTAGAATCTGGTGTTAAACTTTGCTGCATATGGATTTAGTCCAGAAACATCAAATATTTACTTCAAAACCATGTCAATAACTTTTCCACGATGAATATTTAATGAAGAATACCTGTGCACATTATATTTAAAGGAGGTGCTTAAACAAGGTATTTGATTCGTAATTTCAACATTGAAGAATTTGACGCCAAATGGATTTGGAAAATCCGCCTGTATATAGGGACTGATAGCTTCAAGGAAAAAGGAAACCTCGACGAACACGAAGTTGAGAACTAAACCTGATTTATATAGGCTTCAGCCCATTATGCCATCATTGTAGAAAAGCAGAACGAACTATTTCCTATTTCTTGTGCAAGCAGCCACGAATATTTGCAATATTTTACCGGTTCCATCTCAAGCAGAGCTGTTGCATTCAAATGGATTTCGAATGAAATGGTAATATGTTTTGTGCCATTTTTAACATGGTGGAACAGATTTACGCCACGAGCAAAGGAGGTAATCTTGTTAGTTTAAATTCATGCTGCATATGAAAATCCTCGTTTAGGTTTAAAGCCACTCATCATTTCAGTTTCATTCCCGCAATCCTCTAGCATAACATTCACCGTCATCATCCGACAGTGTCAATAGAATTTGTTCCATAATTCTCTCCAATCACAAACCCTAATGACTTACAATCAGTTTGTTGCTTCCACTTAAGTCCGCACTCATCGACGCCCTCGTTCAGCCCGCTGAAGGCCCATAAGCCGCTTCAGGTGTAATGTGGAATAATGTGTGGAAAATCATCTTGGACACAAGTGATAATTAAATTTAAAATCACTTCCAGTGAAAACAGAACGATTTAAATAACTGACCCACTTCACCAACCAGACTTTATATAGTTTCATGTAAATATCTTCCCTTGCTTTCAAAATACGCTGCATTCTTGTCTTGATCCTTACATGTGTCGTCTCATCACCAGAATATGTATTGACTTCTTACATTATCCAAAGGATAACTATCTCTTTGTGGGTTTTAATAAGCTATTTCATATATTTTACATCGGAATACGCTTTAAAATTGAATATATTCAATGATCATGAATTTTTTCCAAGTGTTGAAAGAAAGTTTATTTGTATCAAACCGATTCAATCAGGACTGAGAAAAGAGGAAGTAGTAGTAGAAGAGAAATAAAGCTATTTTCTGATATCAAGATCGCTGCTTCTTGCACAATATCAAATTTATCCTGGCATGAAATAAAGATTACTTTTTGCCGACCTTGTGATACAAAGAAACAATTGAAACACAAGTACAGCTTCCAAATATCTTGGAAGATATCGATGCATTTTAAGGACACGACGATGATTCTTTTGTGCCCAATCGCGACCTTATATTTGAATATCTATTTTCGAGAGGGGAAGAGGAAGCGTCTACAAAGAATCCTCATCCACATCAAAGCTCCATCCTGTTTCATCCCACCTCCCAGGGGAGACCACTCACATAATTACTGGTCAAATGACATAACCCAATACAACTGGACCATTGTAAAACCACAGATTGACATCTATTTTCAATTCGAATGATTCATTCTAGACAGGCCGCAAGGCAAAGCACCAATCGCAGTGGCCAAGATGTACAGGATGTGTACTAATTAGAAAACACGCTTCATTCATCATCGCGGTACAGAGACACTTCAAGCTGTCAAGTATTCTAGATCTTTAATTTGCGTACCCAACTAAAAAACAGACCCATCAATCTAATTGACTTTAATGAAATGCCTTCTGTTTCAGTTGCTGTTGTTGTGGCGTTCTTCGTCTGCTGGGCCCCTTTCCACTCTCAACGCCTGATGACGTCATACTTGTCACGTAATCAATGGACACTGGAGCTCCTGGACTTTCAGAGTCACCTATTCTACATATCTGGTACTTATATAGAAACAACTTCATTGTTACCCGTCTGTTACCCATGATGAGTGAGTCAGTTCAGTTTTAGCAATAATGCAGCAATATCACGGCGGGGCACACCGGAAATGGGCTTCACACATTGTACCCATGTGGAGACTCGAACCCGGGTCTTCCGCGTGACGAGCGAACGCTTTAACCATTAGGCTACCCCACCGCATCCCCTTATGAGGAGAATTGATGAAAACAATTGGGGGAGGGCACTTAAGGATATCTGATTGTCTGACGCCGCACTTATTTTTTTAGATTCCAAATTGTCAAATGGATAGTGACGAAAGATCACCGATACTAGATAAATGGATGAAAAAATAGTTTGTGTGTGTGAAAAGTAATATTTTTTCCGTTGATTTTCTATTTTGTTCCAGGTGTGCTATATTTCTTCAACTCGACTGTAAATCCCCTCCTTTACAACATGATGTCCCGCAAGTTTCGGCGGGCATTCAAAAGGACATTATGCAGGTGCTGCTTCAGCCGGGAGGAACTAGCAGAGCTGAAAGGAACTTCCAGATCGGTGCTATATTCGGAGCGAACGCAGTGTGTCAGCCGGTTCAAGGATAGTTCGCCCATCCACTTGAAAGGTATAAACGGGAGCATAAGAAGAACAAAGTCGGGGAATATCTTAACCCCCGGGCCTTCGCCCCGTGCTGTACGGCTTCTGCTGAATGGCTACACACAGGATCGTAGGCCACAGAGTATGGTTCAAAATGGCCGTCGTGTTGTGTCATCGGTCGCGGGGCCTCCACCACTGAGCCCGTCAATTCCACCCTCTCCAAACATTTCCCCTGCAGCAAGTGTGGGTAGCTTTGACGGGGTGGAAATGGAGTGTCGTAAATTGGATGAGGACAGTCGGTCAGTGTCACGGTCTGGTTCCTCGTCAGTGGCGTTGCTGGTCCGATGCACTAACGTCAAGCAGAGAGACACTACATTTGTGTAAGGCTGTTATCTCCGGAACAGTTTGTGCTGTCGCTATTTGAGGAGTAAAAACATTATTTGTGGTGTAGTGAGTAAGTTGTATTCCAGCTATTATTGTAAGCCTGATAAGGGAGGAGAGCTCACAGTGATGCATGTCTGAGACGTTCACCACTTTGATGAAACGAGCATGGTCCTGACGAACGTAGAAACGTAATGGTGCCGAACAGGGATTCATAGATGTCTTGCGTACCGAGGGGATGCAACTCTACACCGGAAGCTGCGGTGCTTAAGACAACGGCACCAGTTCATGCTATAAGAACAAATGAATCTGGTTTTCCAATCACTGGTATGGTAAACGTATGTGGCTCCTAAGGAGATTCGATGACAGCGACAGGCCAGCGACTGTGCTGTCTGTTAAAGATTGGGATTTGGAGACTTGCCTCACACAAGAATTGTTTGCTCAAAGCAGAACCTTCACATCTTACTACATGCTGCTTCAGTATTCATATCATACCATATTCAAGTAAATAATAGGTTTCTTCTAACTCTCTTATATATTCTCGACTTCTACTCCATTGTACTTTTGTGTTGCTAAGTGTACTGTGTTTGTGTTAAGGCCGTATCTAAATCCTTGTTATTGTATCAGGAGATGTTGCTTGGCAGTTAAAAAGCATTGCGTGTTCTATTTGTTGTATGATTATCGATGCTTTTTAAAGAAACATTTTTCAGTAATGATATCAATCTCAGGAAGACGGTCATTTATTGTTAACCACTGGATACATCATATGTACAAAAATATACACGAATATTAGTGTTTTCAAAGATATTTCAAACCATAGAATCCTTAACTAAATGAGATGTCAAGATGTGTTATATGGTACAATAATGAGCATTAATTTGCTGCTCTCCACACGAGAAAATAAAGAATATATGTAACAAACTCTTCTCAAGTAATTTCAATGACGCTAACACACCAGTGAGTAATATATAATCTTTATTCATAAGCTAACATATCCAGTCTTTGTGAGACGTCTGTGACGTTCCTCGATGACTGACCTCATTCCATCTTGGCAAGACGTTAGCTGCACGCTTGGAATATTCTCACCACGTCTTGGTGAGATGCCTCAACCATTTAACACCATCCTAGCTCAGTGAGACGTCTGCTGGATACCTTGAACAGCATCGTCATCCCATCTTGGTGAGAACTCGTCTGGACGCCTCGACTGACATCATCCAGTCTCAATGCCCATATGTCTGAACGCCTCGACCAACTTCATCCCATCTTGGTGAGAACCCGTCTAGACGCCTCGACTGACAACATCCAGCTCAGGATGTCTGAACCTTCGAACTTGGTGAGAAGCATCGTCATCCCATCTTGGTGAGACTCGACCAACTTCATCCCATCTGGAATCCGCCTCGACTGACATCCATCCAGTCTCAATGCCAACTTCATCCCATGTCTGAACGTGAGAACTCATCCCATCTTGGTGAGAACCCGTCTGGACGCCTCGACTGACATCATCCAGTCTCAATGCCCATATGTCTGAACGCCTCGAACAACTTCATCCCATCTTGGTAAGAACTCGTCGGGACGCCTCCACTGACATCATCCCATCACATTGCAAAACGTGTAAACGCTTCGACCAACATCATCCCAATCTTGGTTCAACGTCTGCTTTACGACTCGACTAAACTCATCCCACCCTGGTAAGATGACGACCAACATCATGCAGTCTAATACAGTATGAACCTATGTTCCTCAACTCGTTCGGAACGCTTCGATAATCGTAAACCTGATATGCTATAGAGCTACGACAGGCCTTAACGTTACAAACTTTTTACGCGCGTAAAAACATGGTTTATTCATATCCATTCACCTGGTGCTTTGTATACATATGCGAGGTGACCTCGAGACGTGAGTTCAAGTTGTTGGGGTTTTTTTGGGGGGTTGTTGTGTTGTTTTATTTATATATATTTGGGGGTGGTGGTTGCTGTTGCTTTTTTACAGTGCGTGTCGTAATGACATGTAAACGACTTTAATTCTTTGCTACAAGTTTGGGCAAAAGGAGTTCCCCTTTGAATCTTTACAAAATACCCCACAGGCTTATTGTTTGAGATGTTCACAGTTTAATCATCTCAACCATAGGAAGCCTGGTGCTCGAAAGCGACTTTTTATTTGACAGATCACCAAAGAAGTAGGTGTTAGGTAGCATAGCTTCAAAAAGATTAGGGAAGAAGAATCGAACCAAAAAACGTAACGTTTTTATACCGCCCTCAATCATTCCAAATCACTTTGTAAGTTCAGCTAGAGAATGTCAACAACCCTACGGACGTTTACCATACAACTTCAAATTACTATTGTTACGATTGCAGGGGACAGATCTGAACGAGAACGCTTTTGGCATACGGGGGTTGTGTCTCAATGTCACAAGGAATAAATGCCTGAGATAGAAAGGGGATTAGCTGTCAGGAAGGGAAGAAAGTGAAAAAGGGCAATTCGCGAGAGCAGGTGAAATGAAGTTTTCAAACGTTTTTTAGAACTCATGACTAATGCATTATATTTGGACCGTTTGACATGTTCACCGTAAAACCGTTTGAAAACTTTACTGAGACTTTTAATGTTGTAAAATTGATCATGACACGTTTGACCAAGTGGCACACAAGTTTTCAACCTGCTGGCATGGAGTATAAGACACAATAAATATCGTTTTATATCACTAACAGTTTAGTGGCATATCTCTGGAACGTAATGAATGTTCAGATACATTAATGTATTTCTGTCTACAAAACTAAAGAAGTTGCAAAACAACAGCATACAGTCGTGGTCTTCATTTGGCCAGATATTTGATGTTTCTATCTGATGTTGCTTTTTATCACTTTACAATTGAACATATGCACACATATAGTTGCCTTACAGTTACAGTAGTGTAAATAAGTGTACAGTAGCTTGACTAATACATGTTGAAATACCCAGTATCCGTACTTTACATTAATTTTGCAACGTATATCGTCAGTAGATATTTAAGGAATCGTCAGAAAACAATCAATGGCATAGTATGAGTGAGTGAAAATGGTTTTACACCGCATTTAGCATTTTTTTCAGCTACATCACGACTTGAGTCACCAGAAATGGGTTTCGCCCATTTTACCATGTGGGTAATCGAATCAGGACCTTAAATATGAGAAATCCCTGGCACAGTTCGCGCAAAATGGAAACAGCATAACCACTGTTACGTTTAAAAAACATAGCTATATTCTCACACTCATTCCCTATTCAGTGAAACGTAAGCCAAGTCAAGAGGACACTGCTGTCTTTCCATCGATCTGTGGCCTTGTTATCTATGCAACATGATGCACACTGCAGGGAGAACACTGGTACCATGTGCAGCATGACCATACAAAATAGAAGCCGGGGGTATTGATGTCAGCTTCTGTATTTTCAGGAACAAGGCATTTCGGAGGATATTCTTGGTCCTTCATTAGGTGAAGAAAACACTCCGAAAAAGTGTGTTCCTCAAAATACAGTAGCTGATATCTGTAAATCCTCCTTTATGTGCATGAATTCTAAATGCCACTGAAGGGTTTTATGACGACACAAATTCTCATTGCAAGGACCACACGCAGTGCAAGCAGAATGTTGCTCTCTGAGGCTTTGTTGATCAGCATCTTCTTTTCATGTTCGTCTGTGTACATAAAAGTACATCACGTTTGTCTTGCTTGAAAGCTGTAATGGGAACACTAACGGGCATTGTCGACCACGCTAAATCTGGTTTCACCATCGGCATAATCAGCCGACATGCATATGTGTGATATTTCCGATCTCCATTTCAGAAGCATTACTACTCTGCAAAGTGACGCCTTTCGCCGTCCTGACTGCGATTAAACAAGAACAGCGGTCAGCATTAGCTCGAAGCAGCATGTTCCTGACCAATTAGACTCCGTAGAACAGTCCGATGACATAGTATGCTGTGTGTCGTGATACACCGACGGCATATTCCTCATCATTTGTCATTCGTTTATCTGGGTCGACCTCTGAATATGGGATTGTGGATGGCTGGGCAGAATGTATACTCCCAGGGAAGTCCAGAATAGGATATACCTTCAATGAAATATACAATTTGCAGAGAACTTTCCGTCGTAGGGTACACATGTGAAGGGATGACGTTTATTCAAGATTGTCTTCTATTCGTCATTATGAGAGAGAGAAAATTAGAAACAAACTGAAACTTAAAATGATCGCTGTTGACAGTCATTTTACATAAATGCTGATACATATAAACTATGGGTCCATGAAAAGGTATCTGTTTCAACTACTCCGTTTCAAAGGCAAGTATCAGGTTGTTTTATTCAGTACGTTGTTGGATCAATCTATTTACGTCAACTTTGTAATTAATTGTCTGTCTACATAGATGTATCACCACAGTCGTTGACTAATCATTTTCAGAAAACGATCGCTAGTAGTTCGCAGCCAGTATGCCATTGCATAAAACCAAGTAGCAAGTTCTTCCCCATTTCTCCCTACAGTCATAGTCTCTTTTGATCCAAGCCAAGTGAAAATGATTAAATGACACAGTGCGTTATGTCTGGGGATGTGCAGATCACCATCATCGTGGAGCTGCTTCCACACCGATATTTCACAGTTATTGAACAGGTGTTCATCACGACATCCAGAGCTGTACATCACAGACATTGACCCAACGAAGTCTCATTTTAAATGTCTGCTTTATGTTCTACGTTTAAACCGTCTCATATGCGGATTTGGATATTCTCAATTCGCTCTTAAACAAACGTGGTATGAATTAAGGCTACTGAGGCAATACAGGAACTATCTACAGTAACTTTAGATATCTAAATAGAGTGGGACCTTGTTATTCCAGCTATCTTCACTGACATCATTGGCACACGTAAATGCTATACTGTATAAGTTTAACAATTGAGGTTATTGTTCAAAAAGGGAAATTTAAGTGGGTTTCGTTTTTTACACTATTTCACTCTTCAGTGTACATATTAATAATTACCCGGAGGTTTGTCAATGCTTTCAAATAAGATTATCACCTGGTGTTTAACAGCTGATTTTACTGACACACCATATTGTAGCTATTTAGAGCTAGCTATCATCATCATCATCATCGCCTTCCATTTCAATAACTTGGTCCATCGATGCTCCATTTTTGTTATCCCTGTCATATTGAAGTTTTCATTTCGCAATTGGTTTCAGAAAAAGTCTCCGACATTGGCAATCATTTCCTGTTACCACTCAGGTGTGGTTTGGGTTTTACTGAAGACATAAATGTCACAGAGTGACGGTAACAAGAATAGTGCGGGGAACTTATTTAAAGCAATATCCTGGAGACGCAGCCACCTGACTTGATTCGTATCCACATTGTCGTGAAGTGGTAGCACACCTCGATCTATGTCCACGCATTTCCTGTACAACTTTACAACTCATATTGTGACATAGTTGTGTAGTATAGAATTTCAATTTCAGTTTATGGCATGAACCAGTTTCAGATTGTGAGTAATGATTAGCCCTTACTCAGAAACCGAAGCCGTGAGTATTCGAACAGTTGCCTTCTAATTTGTAGCACCCACGGTTAAAATTCGTAATTTGTCGAATTCTTCTAATCGCTGAGTGAACAATTCCGCGATGCTATGCCAGACCTTTCAGGTGAGGAGCTTGCTTCTGTGAGGGTGTTAGACAAAACATAAAAATAACTGTCAGATCCATACATTTGTTCTTCAGTTTTATCATCAGACGACAATGCATTGGGTCATCTCCTGTGCTGCACCTGATTGCTTAAATCCAGGTGTCCATTTAGGCATTTATGATCAAATGAATCTGTCTTGTATTCTCTAACGTTTCTGTTTCGTGTACCTTTCGTGACATGCTCTGTTATGCATGTACGCACGCAAATCGTGTTTTCTGAAGTTAAT